TTCATGCGAGGCAGGTGGGGTGGTCTGGCAGATCTGTTACCTACAGAAAGTAAGCAAGGTGGTAGTGACTCCATGAAATTTTCTCACATGGATCTTGAGTTTATTTTGTGGAAGTTAAGAGTAAAAATAAATTTCTTCTTAGTGTTAGTATTTTTATCAGGCAGATCTATTTTTTCCCCTGATGAACAGCTTACCACCTTTCTATTTTTTGCTTCCATTGGCAATGGACACCTGAGCCACTCTTCTCACCAGCACGAAGGCGTTCTGCTCAGTGCTGTGCTGTCTGTTACATCTGGAAGGAGTATTTCCTATTTATGCTTGTCTGGAGTAATTTTTCCAAAGCCAGAAGGTTTTGTTTGAGAATATCAAATCCCTTGAAAGTACTGTATAATTATCTACATGATTAATTTAAGTGTCTGCCGTGGCTCTGCAGTGAGCTTAGGGGCGTAGACAGGCAACCCGCAGCGTATAGACGCCCGCAGCTTTTCCTGTGGGGAGAAGGAATGGGGTTTTGAAGGCTGCCAGCCTCCGGCGGCGTGGAGGGGGCTGTCATCCTCTATCTCTGGAGGGATGTGTGTGCATGGAGGGGGAGAGCCCTCCAGCAATGTTGCTAAATGAATGATGGATGAGTTTTGCGTGGAATGCAGATGCCTTTGAACACTCCAGCCGGCTAACTGAAGGATTGAAGCTGAAGTCAACATCAGTGCCCTTTGCAAATGCAGAGGGGATTTGGAGACCTGAGCTAAACCTCTGAGCTGCTTTCAAGGAGCCCCAAGATCTCCAGGCTGGAGACCCTGGCAATGCTTTTGATTTGGGGATAGTCGGAAAAAGACATAATATGTCTACTCAATGTCAAAACTGATAAACAGCTGAGAGAAAAACTCCCTAAATTATTAGGCAAAAAGGGCCTCAAATAATTATCTGGTCCAATCTCCTCTAGTACCTGAATGGTTCTGAACCCTGTATGGTCACTGAGAGCTGTGCCAAAATTTGCTGTTAAAGCAAAGGGTGTTATTGTCATAACTCACGGGATGTCATCCATTAAATGATCTCTTACTGTACTTTCACTAGGGCAGATAAGGATGTTGGAGGAAGTAAAAGTAAGAGGGATTGAAATGGTGAGATCTACTTTCTCTCATAATCCAAGAGATATTGGCTCTAGTCATTGTTCATGGCAGATGTCTGACCTTCTGCAGAGACCATGAGTGATGGAGACTCCAGCACTTGAGACAGTTCCCCAGTGCCTTGATATTCTTCATCCTTCTGAGTGTTACCTAACTACTACCCTAAATATACCTGGATGTGATTCATATACATTACTCCATCATGGACAAGAGGAACAGACTGCTTTTCTCCTCATGGTCACTGTGGGGCATTTTAGAGTACATGAGGGCCTTTAACTCGTGCTCTCACACCCTGCAATACTTTCTCCTTTTTAGCAGGCCCTAATTTTTTTAGTATTTCCTAGTAAGCCACACTTTCAGGACTGGCAAGCCATGTCAGAGCTCTGCTCCAACAGGGCAGTTTTGCTGCTGAGACTTTCCCAGCCCTGTGTGAGGCTACAGAAATACTTCATACTCCTTATTGGCTTTGTCCCCACTGACACGTCTAGGACAATGACTCTTTTTCCTCCAACAGCAGGAGATTGACAGGAATGATTCCCTATAAACCCTGGAAAATGCTCAAAGCCAAGCTGGATGGGGCTCTGGTCTGGTGGAAGGTGTCCCTACCCATGGCAGGGGGGTTTGGGACCACATTCCTTCCTAACCTAATCCATTCTCTAATTCTGTGATTCTGTGAAAATGCTGCATCTCTCGCCAAAGATTTGCCACATAGCCAACCCTTTCTAAGTGAGATATTCCTCTTGTAGTACTCAGTGTTTGTCCTTGATGAACTTTACCCTAATTTTTAGAGTATGTTTTTCTGATTTTTGCCAAGATATTTTAGATGCTAATCCTATTCTCCAGTGTGTCTGCAGACACGCCCAGCTTTGTGTAATCTGCAGATTTAATATGTGTACTCGCTTTCATTGTCCAGGTCACTAACAAATGTGCTGAGCAGAACTCGACTATATAGATCCAGCAGAGCTCCACTTGCAGTGTCCTTCTGTTTTCACAGAATGTCATTAATAACTACTCCCTGGGTATGGATTTATAGTAGTCTCATTTAATCATATTTCCCTAGTATATTTATGAGAAAGTTGAGACAGTGACAAAAGCCATAATAAAGCCCAGATAAATGACATCCAACAAATTCTCCATTATGAAAATAAAAATAATTTCACATGATTTTATTCTCACCTCTCCTGTGCTGCTTATACTTTTGTTCTTTTCCACATACATGCAAACTATTTCTCTATTTGATTTGGAGTTTGTAGGATGAATGATGCTAGATCGACTGATGTCACATTTTTCTGCTGCTTCTCTTTCTACCCTTGAAGACAGCCACTGCTTTTGCTGTTGTCCTTAATTCTGCCCCCTTGCCTTTTTGAGCTCCCACAAATGACCATCAGGGAGATCTCTGGGATGGTTTTAGTTGGTTTTGTAGGAAATTTAAGGTAGTTTATCCCATTCTGCTGGACTGGAGATACCCGGAACAGGCAGAGAAGAGGATAGTATGCCTCTGTAGTGGTACTGTATCACACTGTGTAGTAATCCCCTGTGCATAGCCAGTAATTTTAACAAGGATTAAAGCAAAATTCAAACCAGCGTTGACTCTTTTGGTGTCATTTTTCAATAACTTTCTCTCTGGGCAACATTTTTCTGGATTTCCTTCTTGGTATTAATATGCATATAAAGGGTAACTTTTTTTTATCCTCCGCAAGTTTCATTTCATTTTTATACCCTCATGTTTCTATCATTTTTGCCTATGTGTTCACACTATTTTTTAAAACTTGTGCTCAGTAACCTTTTAGTGTTCTTTCTTCTTGTCTTTGAGGAAAATAAAAAGCTCGTGATGCTGCCAAGTCTTCTGATCCTTCTTCATTGAGATGCTATTGTGCCTGTGCCTTTTAAGCACAAAATATTGTTTCTTCGAGAAACTACAGCTCACCTTGATTTCTTTTTCCTTTAAACTCTTCCCCATGAATTCTCTCCTAGCAGGTTTGTTTTTTAATGTACTGAAGCCAGGCATTTCTGTTTTGCTGTTCCAAATCCCTTGATTTTACAGACAATCTTACATGAGTTTCTTTCTACCTTCTTACCCCAAATACATCCCTCTCTGGAGGCACTTCCCTGCTGATTACTTGACCATTATGTGAGAATGTTGCTCTGAAGGCACCAGGACTTTCCATCTCCTGCTGCTTTCTTTTCCTAGCAGATATCTCATGCTTCTACTTTCCCACTACCATTGACTCAGATGTTATCAGGTTCTTGGTTTAAGGTTTGTTGTGCCCTCCCCTATGTTTGTTCTGTTTTGTGCTTTCCGTCCTTATTATTAATTAATTATTAATCAGATATTTAGCAGTTAGTCCTCCCCTTGTGTTCTGAACCTCAGAGCAAATATACACATCATCCTTGGCATGCCAAGAGATTCTGCCTCTACTTTTAATTGTTAGTCCACATATAAACTATGCATTTTTAGACCAATATTCCAGATCTAGGTCTTACTAGAGCAAGTTCCAGATATGTCCATTAAATCATTGCTTTTGTCTTAAACATGAGATCTTAAATAAGACTAAAGTTCTATATTAAAAAACCCTACATATTCACCAGTGTTGCATTAGGTATCTAAAATGTCCAAAGGAGTTAACCTTATCTCCTGATCAGTCTGTGTCTGTATTATCACCTCTTGTTTTAGGCATGTGCCTGGGCAGTTTTTATCTTTATTCTTTCCCTTTTCTTCCCTGTTTTTTCTATCCCGAGCCTAACTCAGAAGTGCCTCTCACTAAGCAGGGGGCCAGTTCCTCCTTTCCCAAGCAGATGTCTATCCCTTCTGAGCTGCTAGTGTAACATCACTGCCTTGGTGAAGATGCCTCCTGAATGAGCATCATCTGTGGCCCTGATGTGTTGTTGTTCCTGCCTGAGCTGTCCTGGGGTCACTCCTGTCCATCTAGGTAGTGCCCCACAGCCAAGGAGGTGGCAGAACTTTGGATACAGCTTCTGGGCAGCAGCATTTTGCAAGAGCCTCCCTCCACACTCATTCTTTTGGGGTTATAAGCTCTTTCTACAGCTTTTCTACCCCACACCTGCAGGCTGCAAGCTCGAAGCTGCTGCTTTCTTCAGCTTTCCTGGTGCTCAGCTCACTGAGCAGCATCCACTGCTGGAAAATAAAGCCCTGAAAGAATCTGCTCAACCAGACTTGACTGGTATCAGGGTTTTCTCTTGTTTCATAGATATTAATGATCCTGGCAAAAAAAACCCCATATCGCCCTGTTGCCTGCTAACCCTCAGCTCCCATTGACTCCTGGTTGCCTGTGTGCCTCCATCTCCAAAGTGCAGGAAATTGGGGAATCCACCTGCCCTACTCTTTTCCCAGGAGACTGGATAGTCACTTCCCTTAGATGCCTTACCCACAAGGTGGCTGTGAGCCACTGCTGCCACGAACGGAGGGACCCCATCGGTGTCCTCACCCTTCGTGTTTGCTGCTGCCCATCCCTTGTGCAGCTTGGCGGAGAGGGAGATAAGTCTGGGAAGAGCCCGGTTTAGGCCTATCCCAGCCCAAAATCACTGGACGGCAGTGCTGTCCCTTCAGTCGCCGGTGAGGCCGGTGCCTCACTTGGAGCGGGTTCGGCAGGAATGTCCCCTCCGCTTCGGTGGGAGCCCTGGAGCTGCGGCAGGAGCATCCCCCGGGCTCTGCAGCCCGCGTTTCACCGCGAAGGTCAGGAGCTAATGGTGACCTTTTATTCCCTAGCTGAGGAGAGCAGCTGGTGCCCTCAAGTGGTAAATCGCAGAAGGAGAGCGGCCAGGCCGTGAGGGCCGGCCGTGGGCCGCGGCGCCGGGGCTGCCGGATCCTACAGCCGTTCTGGCACTTCTAACCACGCTGTTTTTTTGTCCTTGCAGGACGAGAGGCTGTGGTGAACGCGGTGGGAAGGACGCTTTGTTCCCGACGGAGCGGGGACCCCGGCGGCAGCCAGACCTGCACAGCCACAGACGCTCGCAAAGTTGACCCCGAGCCTGTTCATAGGGCTTTAGCTCCTGGACACCAAACATCCTTCCTTGACTGTGCTCTTGGTCAGCTGGAACCCCCCCAAAATCTCTGTGAGACTAGATGGAGCTTGCTTTGGTCCTGCAGCCCCACTCCAGCATGTCGCCAGGGGCTGTGGGAGGCCACCACGGACAGCCAGGGAGCCGAGTGGCGCCGGGGCTGGTGGCGTGAGGGGATGCCCAGGGACAGCGATGCCCATCACACAGGACAACGCGGGGGTCTTCCTCCCCCTCCTGTGCCAGTGGCTGCAGAACAGCCGGCGGGAGGGCGCCGAGGGAGCCGAGCAGCAGCTCTGCCGCTCCGCCGTCCAGAAGCTGAGCGAGTACATCCAGCTCAACTTCTCGGTGGACGAGAGCAATCTGCAGCCTGGGAGCTGTGGGGCTGTGGATACGGAGATCTGCACCATGTACCTGGCCCAAGAGATGCGGAAAAATGAGGTCCTGGGCTTGAGCTTTGGGAATATCCCTGCTCTGGGGGACTATGGGGAGAAGCGTCGGGGAGGAAAGAAGAGGAAGGCACATAAAGGGCCTGTGCTCGACGTCGGGTGCATCTGGGTGACAGACTTGAAGAAGAACAGCCCGGCTGGGAAGTGCGGGAGAGTGCGCCTGAAAGACGAAATCCTTTCTCTGAACGGACAGCTGATGGTCGGTGTGGATGTCACCGGAGCAAGGTAAGGGTGGAAGAGCTGCCAGCAGCAGCAGCTGCCTCTGGTGCTCCATACTGCAAGTCACAGTTGATACTGATGGAAGTCCAGAGGGTCTGACCTTTGCTTTCCAGCCCCTGAGACAGCCCTGGGTTTGTTCTTAAGCTCTTGTAGAAAATAAGTAACAAAAGGGAGTTGATAATTAGCCTACATGTGCTACTCACACTTCCCCTGGAAAATTTTCAGGGGTCACTAGGTCAAAAAATTATACGTCATAATCACCAGAGGGGCTCCACTAAAACAGGAACCTTCCTGGGTTTGTATAAAACTGTTTCCTTAAGCAAAAATGAACACAGATGCAGCAGCACTGGAAGATATTTTTACAGGTGCTTCATATTTTTGTTGAATTATTGCAGTTGAAGGAAGTGTTTTTGACAGCTAAATGTTGTCTGAGACTTTCTAAAAGCAAGACATTTCTGTGTTTTCCAGTTTTGAACAACTTCATTTAAATAATTTCCCTTTGATTTTAAGGCATTTACTCTCTTCTGATGTCTCCTGACCCAGAAAACGAAATCTTTAGGAGTTCAAATAAAGAATTAAGATTCGTGCAATGATAGATTTTTCTTGTGGTGTTTTTTTAAAATTCAGCTATTCCAAGCTGTAAAATCAGTTTATTGTCCCAGTTTTGTGTTTTGTGGGCTGGTAGACTTTCTCACATTACCCTTTGCAAAGGCAAAAACCTTTTTCTGCTGTAGATGAGGATGTAAACATTCATTCATACCTGAGGTTACAATTTACCTGAGGGCATGAAATCCTCCCTCTCTTGCCAAAACGGAATTTATTTTCAGGATGGACAATTTTGGAAACCAAGTCCCAGTGAAGTGATCCCAGCTGGCAGTGAATGTGGCAGGAATTTTGACCATCCCTCCCCATTCTGACATGTGGCAGAATAAAAGCAGTGACTCCTCAATCTGTGGGTGCTGGGCAGTTCAACCTTCTGTGGTTTTACAAGTATGAAAAAAGCCCTCTGTAATTCTTATCTTGTGATTCAATGAGTGTATAAATATTGGCACTCTATCAATCAGTGGCACCTCCAAATTTGAGAGTGTTTATGGCAAAAGTTTTCTGTTTCCCCCGACAGTCAGATGTCACTGTTTCTAAATTCAGGGGAATTGCTTGCAGTGGGCAGCATCTTATTAATAATGCAAAATGAGAGATAATAGCCAATGAAGTTGAAAATATTTGGCTATCTGTCCATTTTGGCCTGTCCTTGAAGGCTTAGTTTAGGGCTTGTTCCTTTTAGAAAGCTCTGCTATTAAACCAGCAAGCTGTGACTGCAGCTAATGGGAACCAAGTGCTCCATTTTCCTTACTTTTTTTGGTCATCACGAAGGCAGAGTTTTGGTAGAGTGGGGCCAGTGTTGTTCTTAAAATCCTGTTTTAGAATATTGTACATCCAAAAGGCCAAAGTTTAGGACGTTTCTTAGTAAAAACCTGTATTATTTTCAGCATCCAAAGCATCCTTCCCTAACTTACTGTTGACTGCTATTTGACAAGGGTGATGTTGATGGATGACAGTTTGGGATGTTGAGGATGCTCCCAGTTTGGAGAGGTGGATCTTGCCTATCAGGGAGCTTGCTGGCAGCTCCAACCCCATGTTCCCATGCTGTTCATCTGGAGTGCTTGAGGATACTGTGAGAGTCTTTCAGTAGCTTTCTCCATTGGGGTCCTCAGAAAGGACATGATTCTTTCTAGCTTTATAATAGGCTGAAAGGCAACATCAGCTTGCCTTCTGGCTGCCAAGAAGAAGCTTTGCTAGAGTAATTCCATATTGCTGCTATGGTGGAAGTGGCAGAGCCCTTTTTCCCTTGGTTTTTCAAGGTGTTGGGGCAGGGCAGCACACTAAATAGTAGTCCTGACTCAATTATTCTCTGGCTGAATGAGAAACACTTCTAGGTCGATACAAGGGGCTGTGGGTGCTCTGATTTGTGGTGTGATTTACTTAGTGGAGCCTGCACATGGTCAGTGAAAGTAAAATACTGCCTTAGCTCTTCCAGCAACAGGCTGGATTAGGCAAGCAAAATCACTGCTTATGTGTTTATTCCACACCTGCCAAGTGTTTCAGGGCAGCCCCATCTTGCCTGATGAAGGAGTTTTTCAAACTGATGCTATAGGGAATCTTCTGATTTATTCCCTTTACAGTGGAGGATTTAGCATGGGGGTCTCTGCCATTTCCCACCTCTGCAGAAGTGTTCTCACACACCCTGGGCTGTAGCCTGCCATCTAAATCCTCACTGTTGCAAGGGGCTGAACCAATGCACCAGAAAACACGAGAGAAGAGGTGAGGGCACGCAGTCCCTCCTGCTGGCTGTCCTATGGATGTGGTCAGCCTCTAGAGGATGCAGGGGCAGGTGACTGGAGCTGGAACAGATTGGGCAGCCCTGGACAACAGACAGGGCTGTTTTGGCACCTGCCTGCTGTGCCTACAGGTCCTTACGTCTTGGAGTGGTGATGGGGTCAGACACAGTAAGAGCAACACAACACTTAGTGGAGGAGCCAGCTGTGAGTACCACTCATCTGTCTCTCCTTGCTAGGAAAGCTGAATATGACTTCTTTAAAGAAAAGTTATTTATTTAAATTCCACCTGATTTCCATGTAAACAGCAGAGACAGGTTGATTATTGCTGAACTTATTTCTTTTATTTTTTTTCTTTCTTTTCATTTAGAGAAACATTATGCAGTAATAAAATCATCAAAGTTCTTTGCTTAACAGGGTATTATTACATTAGAGATAAATAACGTAGGTGGTGTCATTCTCGGTGATGCTAGCAATTGAGGGAAAATTATTGCTCTCTTTAGAGTTAGCAAATTGTGTGTGTCTATCAAGCACAATTGCAGGGAAATGAGCTGTATTGGAATACTGAACAAAGGTTAGTCAAAACTCTGCCTATTTATTTATCTTCTGTCTATATAACTGTGTGCGTGGGTTAGGTTCCCCCAGACAACAACTTCCTATGTAGTTTGGATCTACTGTACTCATTTTGGGCTATTACTCACTTACTGGAGGGAGGCTGTTAGTATTTCTACAGATGGCAGATGAATCCTTCATTTCTTGAACATAACTGAATGGGGCTTCATTGAGCAAGTCCTGGGAGCATTGCAAAAAAATTATTTTGTCATGAATATAATTCAGTTTGAAATATTTGATTATGAATTTCATCAAGCATAGCTGCAGTGCTTGGATGTAGCTACCATATACATTTAATCTTTAAGATCAGTGCTAAGTAGATTTCCAAATTAATTCTTGAAAAAAGCAGAGTAAGATACATAACCAGTGATGACAGTGTGGTAGAAACATGAGATAGTATTGTAATTTTGTCATTGAGAAAATCCATCCACTCCTTCAAAATATCATATCTTATTGCCAAAAATTATCAAACATTGCCATATGTGGGAATACAGTCAGAGAAGTGGCTGGCTTCTTTTTAACCCACAAACTGGAGTTGCTTCCAAAAAAATGAAGAGAGAAGTGTTTTGACAGCCATACCTTTGCACAGTGCTTTCTCAGTCTCTCCTTTTCAGTCAGTGTCCTGGAGGGAGTTGCTAAGACTCCTCCTCAGATATGGCATGTCAAATTTCAAGGAAATCAGTTTATTTTCCAAGATGCTGAGAGAGACCTTGAGGAATCAGGTCTGCAATGGAGAAGGAGCTTCAAGTGCCACTGCTGAAGGCAAAGCTTTTACTTTACCTGAAGCTGAGGGTTTTCAGTAGAGCCAAGGTCTTTCCTGAATGCTTGCTGCTACTGCACGTTTTATGTTCATGCCTCCAGGATAGCTGGAACTATGAAGGTAAAGTCCTGCTCCTCCTCACACATCAGTGCCATGAGTAGGTGTGTGATACATGAACATTCTAAGCACAGTCCTGCCTCTCTGTAAGTACTAGCAGCTGATTACAGAAGACAATTCAAAATGTCCAGTAAAATTACAGGTCTCAAAATGTGCATAGCTCTTTGTGCTGCCTTCTGTGGCAGTCATTAACAGTCCTGGGCTCTTCTGGGTGAAATCTTGACATTCTTCGTCAAAGAAAGAATTCTTACTGGTGCTGCAAACAAATCATGTAGTTCCTGGCTGTAATTAGAGTCAGATTCTGCTCTGAAGAGGGTCTTTACGAGGGCAATCTTCTTTGTTCCCTTGTTGTGTGCCCTGCAGACAAGGAGCAGACCTGTACCTGCAGAGCAGTGCATGTGCTGTGGGGCTAGGAGCAGTGAAATCTTTCCTGTGTCTGAGAAGAGATGCTCAGAAACCTGAGCGTTATTTGAAAATGTTTTTTTCTGAAAAGCAGACCTTTCAAGGCACCTTTTTATTGAGATCTCCTTTCCTCAGAAGTTTGAATGGAATTATTTTTTAAAATAAACTGCTTTGCTCCTGCAATAGAAATATTTTCTTGCTGGGAGAAACATTCTTCCCCTCCAAATGTGGTCACTCTTTGATAT